GGTTTCTAGAGATCTCTGAATCCTCACAGTGTGAATATCGACAGCACTGATCTCTCTGAGCCACTGGGGTTAGAAACTACAGTAACACACAGACCCGCAGAGTTTCTAGAGATCTTTAAACTTTCAAACAGTTTTTTTTTAAATACACACACATAGAGGCTTATAATCCAGTTATAGTCGAGGCACTTTTACAGAATAAGAAGCCTTTAATTTTCGACTTGGGTGGGGCTCTTGAAGAAATACTTTATGGTTACTCAGGGTTTTTATGTGCCTAATCGGGATAGCTCCCTCAAACAGTCAACCCCCTTAAATAGATGATCACCTCACGCATCACGTTTGAAGTTTAGTTTCTTTAGAGAGCACATCAATAATGAATAGTCGCTGAGACCCTACATTGGGACTGTGCGTTTTGAGGTTCCCGGATGTCACCAGCCGTAGTAGGATGTCGCCCATGTGATTACCAGGTGTTGGCCACTGGAGGCCGCCAAATACGCCGCCTCTTCGACTCGTGAGAAGTGGCTGAGATCGTTAATCGCGCTCACCTGGACTCACTGATTGGTGCACACAGTGAGGGAGGAGTGCGCGTTTTCACAGGCGCTTCTGAGGAGCTTTCCCGAAGCAAATGATCTCCGGTTGAAGGTCTACCAGCTAATCACACCTGGTCAAGGTGATTTTGGGCTCTTTCGCAGTCTGGGCAGATGCTGTTTTTTTTTTTTTTTTCAAGCTGTGTCTTGAGCCTGTGACTTCCAGTCTACAGGACAGTGGGGGTCAGTACCTGTTTTATCATTCTTCATGCTGAATTAGTTCTGATTTTTCAGGATAGTGTCAGTGAAACAGATGCTGATGGTACTGCGAATCGCCTGGTGTTTCCCAAAGCCCTGAGAGAGAATCTGTCTCCTTAATTCAAGTGAACTCCTCGCACGTATACAGTGCTGTATATATTGAGAACACTTCTCATCTCCCACTGGAGTCCAGCCCCACCTCAGAGAGAAACACGGTGATTGTTCTGCACCAGCAACCCCACCTGGGAGATGCACAGCGATCGTTCTGCACCAGTGACCCCACCTGGGAGACGCACAG